TATCTTTCCGTTCTCGCCTCTCTGGCGTTGCATTTTTCGAGTAGCGACAGGCACGACTAATTGTAACAAATCAATATTTTCTCCCTGTCATATGCGTTGAACACCCAAAGTCCAAATACCATTGATTGCTATATTGAATTGTTTCTTTCAAAGTCACCATTGCATTTTCTTCATTATGCAATCATTTAACATAATTATACAATCTATCCCACTTTATTTCGGCAACATTTTTCAAATTGCTTGCTATCTTGCAACCTATTTATGCTACATTCCCCCTCTGTGATCATGACCAAAAGTGTGTTCTCCTCATCGAACACTTGTCTTGAAACTCTAGCTTCATCCTCTTGGAATTGCAATCTTATACAAAATGGACAAGCTTTTGAAAATTAAAGCATTGCACGCTGCTCCTGTCAACCATTCTTCTTCCAAACCTACCTTTTGCATAACCTCCTCTAGAGTTGTTTGATCCATCATCCCTACTACCACTATTTTCAGCCTTTTGAAATGTTGAATATTTGAAAATTTAGGACTCTCTTTCGCCAAAATTATGAAAGTTATCTCTATCTTTGTTCATGGGACACTTTCCTTTCACCTTCGTGCCTCTCTCATTGAGACAAACTTACAAAGGTATATCTGCCTTTGCCTTATCAATATTCATGTCCTTCATTCTCTAATCATGTGCCTTAAGAGAGCTCTGTAGCCCCTCTTCGCTCATTTTCATAAGATCCTTCAATTCCTCAATCGCCACGACTATGTTATCAAATCTTGCCATCAAAGAATGCAAGATTTTTGCAAGAACATGCTTCTTTGTGGCCTTTTTTCCACATGCTTTTACTTGGTTCCCCAATCAGATAATTCTCGTTTTAAAATCATTGATGGTCTCCTTCTTCTCTATTTGAATCAATTCAAGTTGACGTTTGTGAGTTTGCAACCTCACCACCTTTGCCTTGCCATCCCCTACATATGCTTTCTCCAAGATTTCCAACGTCTGCTTCAATGATTAACAATCACCAAATTTTTCAAAATTATATGTATAAACACATTGATGCATTAAAAATAGTGCCTTAAAATCTTTCTTCTTCTCTTCCTTATGTGCAACTCGTTACGCATCTATTGCACCTTCGGCAAAAGGATTCACATTGTTCTTGATCACTTCAATAACATCATAGTAGGCAAACAACACCTTCATTTGCTTGCACCATTTTTTAATTCTTCGCATTAAAGATGGGTAAGTTTGCAAAAATTCTTCCATTGGAAACAGAATCCATGATTGCACACAAGGTGTTTGATGGACCGAACCGGGCTCTTGATGCCAAGTGTTAAAACTTAGAACCATAAGGTTAGTGAAAATTAATTGAGTAAATGAGTGTGGAGAGGGAGAGAGAGTATGAGAAATTACTATAACTCTCTCTCTCTCTCTCTCTCTCTCTCTCTCTCTCTCTCTCTCTCTCTCTCTCTCTCTCTCTCTCTCTCTCTCTCTCTCTCTCTCTCTCTCTCTCTCTCTCTCTCTCTCTCTCTCTCCACACACACACACACTCTTAATTACTCAATTAATTATCATCAACCTTACGGTTCCAAGTTTTAACACTAGGTAATTTTTTTGTAACCTTACATAAGTAAATTTGATATATAAACTCTTTGAATTTACATCACATTAAAAATGCTAAAATTAATTTATATTTGTCAATGAATAACTTTTTTATTTATAACACGATGTGTAATTAATTTCTTTTTTGTGTTTTTGAAATTTTTTTTAGGGATATATTAAACCAACTATCGTTTTTGCTAGTTGTTGGATGAATTATCATTATATATATCAAGTATGTGTGAAATAAAATATTTTAATTTAATTATAAATAAAATATTATAACAAATCATAATAGTAAAGTTTATTGTTATAAACTTGTATCAAATTAAGTAAATTATTCCACAAAATTTAAAAAGGAAAAATTTCTTAAAATTTAAAATTAAAATCATTAAAAAAAGACTAAATTTTTTCAAACTTTTGACCTTTCTATAACATCATTTCCATTGGTGTTTAATTCATAAAATTTATCTTCAAATGATAAGGGTTTTTTAATATTGTTGATGGTGTATAATAGATACTGTTCAATAAAAGGTTGTGTTTTGATGTGTTTTCATGTGCTTGATGAGGAACATGGAAGTTTGTTACTAATAAGAAAGGACCTTTGTCTTTGAGTGCTACTAGTGGCGATGGTTTTGATAACAAACTTCGATACGACACTCTATGTGATTTTCTTAACAAAACGGGGCGTACCTGTAAGCACCCCAAAGATCAAGTATGTGACTATAATAAGTACCTTAATGAACTAACATTAGTGGACATGGTTGTACATATTATTTGACAGTCCTTAGGTGTTTGTCCGAACTTGATCTAGTATGTTTCTAGGGCGTGACCATTATATGATCCCACGATTCTAAACCTTATCCATGCTTACATGTCTTCAGTTGTCTCATAGAACCATTCAATAACGTGTTATTTGAACCCTTTATACTTGGCGATGTAATGCTTAATAGGTTGGACCTTGGCCCAAACCATAACAAAAGCCCTTAAGTCTTCGATGGTGGAGATGGTTGATGCTTGTTTCAACACTTTTCAAGCTGAATTATCTCAATGATAATGAGTTCAACTATGATATTTGGCGGGGTCCTAGGGAGATGGCTTCAATAAGAAACACTTAATACAAAGTCAGGGATGTTAAAATGGCAATGATCGTGAATAAATTGATGTTATCAATGAGGGGTGACAATATTCTCAATGGTTCAATCGCTGAGGGGAGGGAAGGTGATTTATTGTAAGGTTAGTAAAGGAAACTTTATTGAGGATAAAGTGACTATTGTTTCCTGGAACGACGACCGCATATGTTGTTGTCTGGGTGATCCTTAGTATTATTTATGGGACTCGTGAGGTCGACGTCCATGGTTCCTAAAGAGTTCTGATATAATGCGAACTATTGAGGTTTAATGCATTTCCTATTTTGTGATAGGATGTGGTGTGATATTCCCTCAATAGTTGGCTTCTTCTTATTTTTGCCACATAACTGCTAGCCCTGCCTGGGTTTAGTGATCCTAGGGCGACCTATACATTTAATGGCTTATGCATAAGTTAAGGTGTGGTGATTATTTGGTGAGGGGAAATACTTTTAGTGACACGATGTGGTGATTATTAATATTATAGATTCTAAAAATACCACTCAATAACCTATGAGTCTTTAGATTTAGCCAAACTCCGCATGTAGTTTCAATTCAAAGAACATAATGAGCAAATAATTTATTGATAGAACGACGAATACAAGCTAAAACCATTATATTACATCGAACCCAAGGAGAGTAGACATGATCAGATACCCGAAGTTTTCAAATTGTGCCATAAATAAACTTTTATTTGTTCTTGAAGATCAATGGAATGCGCATAAAACGTGCCCAAGAATGATAATATCTGTGATCCAAGGTTGGTGCAACAAGAGAAAAAATAGGTTTCATTGAGTTGTAGGTAGTAGAAGTTCGGTACATTTATGGAGAAATTCGTATAATTAACAAGTGTCATTGGAGGAAGCTTATGAAATGAAAGAAAAATACTCAATTAATAATAATTTAGTAACTTGAATGAGTTATATTTTTAATTACAAAAGAGAGCTTTCTCTCTATATCAAAAAGAGATAAGTTAACAAACTACTTCCTCCGTACCACAATAAATGACCTATTTGCTAAAAAATGAATGACCCCAAATGAATGATCAATTTTAAGTTATAGTGGAAATTTATTCATTTTATGCAATTCTACCCTTTAATCATTACTATTTTCATCACACCTAATACTTGATAATGAGTACTTTGGTAAAAACATCATTATCTCTTTCATTTATATATATTTTTGAATATGTGTGAAATAATCAATTGAGTAACTCGTTGTGTGACAAAGAGAATAACTTGTTTAGGAAAACAGAAAAAAAAAACTAACCGACTAACTAGTCATAACATGACCTAAATTGTTCACTAGTAACCACCCATTAAACTTTAACAAAAATAAAAAGTTCTATCAGAAACAATAATTGAGCAACTCTCAACCACATTCTACATTAGGGATGTTTGCAGGCCGACTTGGTTTGATTTCGAGAGAATTTGATGTTCAAAATCTATAAAAAAAATATGAATTGGTTTGAATTAGATTTGCACGTTTTACAATAAAGCCCAAACCAAATCAAATTAAAGAATAACTTGTTGATTTGAATTAGATTAATCAGATACATTAGAAAACAAATGTGCAAAAATAGATTTAAAAAATATTTAATTTACATCAATTAATTTTGCATAATAATATAAAATTCTTAATTTTATTGTTTCTCCGTGCATGTTGTGAATGTCAAAAATGACGTTTCATTGTTTTTTTTTTAAAATTAAATATCTTATATTAATTTTTATATTTATGATGATATAAATTATATAAATTAATATAATTGAGTCTGATAGACGGACTTGCAGGTATATATCTTAAAATTTAATGTTCAAATCAATTAACTTCAAATTTTTTTGATTTAATTCGATTTTTGTCTAAATTAAAAAAAATCCAACCAAAACACCATAATTTAATTTAAATTCCTGTTTAAATTGAATTTGCTCAAATCAATAAACACCCCACCCCTCCCCTAGATCAAGATGGTTCTCTTTGAAATTAAGGATTAAAACTAAAAATCATAAACTAAGTTAACTAAAAGTTTGAATTTTTCAACATTTAATTTGCCAAGAAATTATAAACATACAAGGAGCCAAACAAAGCTTGTTGACCACACAAATAGAAACATTTTTTATTTATTTGTTTATGAAATACAAATAGAAAATATCAATCACAGAACAGAGGAAAACACTTCTCTCTCTCTCTCTAACACCAACTCTGTTGAAGTCTTCTCTCTCTTTCTCTCTCCACTCACCAACAACAACACCAATTTCAACACCAAAACAGAGAAACATAGAAAGCTTCACATGGGTCTCTGTTCTTCCTTTCTCTCTTCCACCTCCCCACCTCCCCAATCATCTTCTTCCTTCAACAGACCTCTTTCATCAGGCAAGTCTTCATCTTTTCCAATTCCTCAAACACCCATCTTCAAAAACCTCCAATTCCACTCCATAACACAACATGGGTCATCATCATCCCCTGTTTCTGATAACATGATTTTCTCTGTTTTCAGGTTCAACAAGCACCGTTGGATTCTCTGCAACAACAAGCAGTGCAGGAAGGAGTCAAATCTCCGAAATAGCAAGTGGAAGCATTGATAGTGTTACGGAAGGGTCTCTTCCTGTGCCTGCTTCACCAGATGGACAAATTCTTGAAAGGCCAAATTTGAAGGTTTTTAGTTACGCTGATTTGAAATCTGCTACCAGAAATTTCAAACCGGATACATTACTTGGTGAAGGTGGTTTTGGAAAAGTTTATAAAGGTTGGTTGGATGAGAAAACTCTTAATCCTGCTAAAACTGGTACTGGAATGATTGTTGCTATAAAAAAATTGAATTCGGAAAGTACTCAAGGGTTTCAAGAATGGCAGGCAAGTTTGTTTTCAACTCTATTCTTTTATTGACTATATCACTAGTTTACTGCATATGATTTTAGGCAAGGGTGCGGAAAAACCGGTTATGCTTAATCAAAATGGTATAGAATTATATGTTTTTAAATAGTGTTTAGTAAATTGTAAGCATTTGATCATTTTGATGGATTAACATTTTGATTAGGGAATACACTTCTTAATGCAAAGTTAGAGAGAATGATACATTTTAATATCAGTAAATTATAAATTAGAATCTAAATTAGAGAAGAGGTAAGTATAAGGTCTAACTAGAGCAGTCAAAATGTGTTGTATTTTATATGATCGGTCCGAAAAACCAGACAAATATAGCGCTTGAGTCTTAAATTTAGAGCTTGAATTTTGTAAAGATTTTTCTTGCCTGTTTCTAAAAGAACTGTTATTATTATGGTTAAGCCAAAATCTACTACCGTTAGGGATAAGCCGCACGGGTTACATGTAATCCGTCTGGTTCGTATGACTAAAAGTCGTATTAATGTTTATGTTGTTTCATAAAAAAAAACATACATTGAGTTGTGTTCTATGTAACATCATATCTCTGGAAAGTGTGTCGAGATCAGTGTTGGATATTTATATCGACATTTGTGATTACGTTTAATTTATTTATTTTTTAAAATTATTATCGGTGTCGTTGTATATCGTATTTAAAGTGTCCGTACTTCATAGGTTGTATTATGACCGAGACCCTAAAAACCCGAGGCCGTAAAGGTCGGCATTTAGCATAAAACTTTTGCGATTTTGATTGATTGTGATCTGTGTGAATTATTCACAATATTAATAGAAAACATTTTATGTGATTTATACTTTAATTTTGAAATTGTCTGTGGAAGTCTAATATGATTGATAATTTTGAAATTTTGTTAGCTTTATTTATATTTTCTGAAGCAATTAGTTTTATTGATTAGACTTACGACATCCCACAATATTTTGACTCAAAATTAGCAATTCACTCTTATATAATTTTTTTTCTTTTCTTTTTCATTTATTTTTGTGGTTGAAAAGTGTTTTTTAATCCAAAAAAAAAGGTGAATAGTGTGCTTTATTTGGTAATTGAATTAGTACGGTTTATAAATGATTAATGTGGTTGTCATTGACTAATATTGGTTGGATGATGCAATTGCCATGTTATTTCACATTCTTAATCTTACTATACTCAACAGAAATCTACATTTAATTGAAAATCAAGATGGCCATGTTTGGAATGCAGTAGGAAATTGTATGTGGGTCCCACTTAATGACCTGTACTTTTTCCATCCAATTGGACTATTAAAATATGAATACGTTGTTGCTTGGTTTCCAAACTATTGAATTGTTGACTCAAAATAGATTATTCAAAACGGGCGTTTACCTTTCATTTTCTAAATCTTGATCTATTTTGGCTTTTCTTTGTGATAACTTCCCTTGACTTTATCTTTGAATAAGGAAAATTTTATTATTTTCCTTCTGTCTATGTTTGAATGAGTATAATATAATCTATTGTACATTGCATTCTCATTTTGCAAAGTGGACTTTTTTTATAAGTTATTGCTGATATACACGTGGGAAAATATCTTTGCTTACACAATGTTTATGGAAAGTAGCAAATAATGGTTGCATAAAGTGTTTCGCAATTTAAGTCGGTAAAAATGTTGTGATACTGAATGCAGTCGTCGTAGTGTAAATTAACTATAATACTGAATGCAGTCGTCGCAGTGTAAATTAACTACAATACAATACTGATATCAGTATCGACACCTTATGATTTTGATTTGTCGCAACTGTTTTTACGGACAGGTTATCAAAACCTTGTAAACTTTTCCATAAAAAAAATGCTTTCATGTGATGGATTCGTATATATTGATATGTTTTTTTGTGTTGATTAAACAATGCAGTCAGAAGTCAACTTTTTAGGAAGACTTTCTCACCCGAACTTGGTGAAGCTATTGGGCTACTGTTGGGATGATGAAGAGCTTCTTCTTGTGTATGAGTTCATGCCAAAAGGAAGTTTGGAGAATCATCTTTTCAGAAGTATGTAGTATTGTACTAAAGACGATTAATTAAAACGAGAAAATTTACGGTATTGAATTCGAGTATAATCTGTTTTCTCTTTTGTGTTCTTTTGCAGGAAATCCTAACATTGAACCACTTTCTTGGAACACAAGAATCAAAATAGCTATTGGTGCAGCTAGGGGTTTAGCTTTCTTGCATGAGTCTGAAAAACAAGTTATATACCGAGATTTTAAAGCCTCGAATATACTCCTTGACGGGGTTAGTATTTTTTATTTTGTTGTTCATAAGGTGTTTTTAACTTATTTTCACAAATTCTTCTAACACGTCTTGTATCGTGCAGAGTTACAATGCAAAAATTTCGGATTTTGGATTAGCTAAATTGGGTCCTTCCGGAGGACAATCACATGTATCTACAAGGGTCATGGGCACATATGGTTATGCTGCTCCAGAATACATTGCAACAGGTAATCATATATATCCATAAACACAAGTATAAAATATTGACACAAACACTGACACGTAAACACCGATAACAATATAATCACGGTTAAATCACATGTGTTAGTATCTGAGATTGACACAGACCTTCAATAAGAGTTATCTTTGAGAATGTGCAAGGCAGACTACTGCGCAGAGTTCAAAATTTGTCGTGGCTAAACTGTGGCTAAATAGAGCCTCATAGAATATTGTCATAATTAAATCATGGTTAAATAGGATCTTGTATTTGTTTTCTCATAGTTAAGTTACGACTAACTTACGTAAGACCTCCAAAAGCTTCAGACGGATCTGCCTTCGACTCGAAGCATTATATATTATTTTTAGATATGTTTTTGAGAAACCAAAACTGATATGATTATGAATCGCATGGCAATGCAACAGGGCACTTATACGTGAAGAGTGACGTCTATGGTTTTGGCGTAGTGCTATTAGAAATCCTGACAGCCATGAGAGCGATGGACACAAAGAGACCCTCAGGACAACAAAACCTAGTTGAATGGGTGAAACCTTTTCTCTCCAACAAGAAAAAACTAAAAGGCATAATGGATGGAAGAATAGAAGGACAATACTCACAAAAAGCAGCAATACAAGCAGCAGCACTTTCTCTGAAGTGCCTAGAAGGTGACCCTAAACAACGTCCTTCTATGAAAGATGTACTTGAGTCATTGGAAGCTATTGAAGCATTCAAGTCAAGTCCAAGGAATCCAAGAAAAATAGTTCACATCAACCACCAGTTCATCAAGCTGCTAGGCACCAGAGATTTGTGAGAGTATAGTTTTTTTTAAAGAAAAAAAAGAAACTTTTGAATAGCAAAATATAAGCGGGATCAGCCACTTAATAGATGTTTTTTTTCCTTCTTTTCTGCTGGTTGGGGAAGGTAGATTATTTTATTGAAACTTTTAACTATTTTATGATTTTTTTGTTAAATTATTCATATTTTGTAGAGTGGCATATACTTCTTTCTTTATAAAAAAATTGTTGAAAGAGTATAAAGGGTGTTCTAGACAAGAGTACATACATCTCACATTGTTCATAAACAGGTTGGATTTTGAAGCTGCTTCTAAATCAAACAGCATTAAGTCTCCCCACCTTATGATCAGATTTTGAAAAATTAATTCCATCTCTGCATAAATTTTAGATACAATGGATCATATCATATATGGAAGATAACAACTCATAACT